CAATTTTACTGTGCAATGAAAACTTTTTTAGCAACTGCTTTAGCTTCCTTTCGTTTTTCCTTTTTGCTTTCCTTTTCCTTTTTTGTTTCCTTTCCCCTTTTTCCACTTGCCATTCCCCTTTCTTGACATTTCCTTACCTTTCCTGGTATTTCCATTCTTTTGCTTTTACAAAATGTTAATAGTTGAATTTTGCATATTTAAACCTGCTTTACTACAAATCTTTTGCCTTTGGAATTAAAGCTCCTGTCTTTACAGCCTTTTACTCAAAATCTTTAAGCCGTGTAAATTAATTTTAGAAACAGAGTGAAGAAGCCCACCCCCTTTTTTAGAATTTGTTAATAATGCAATGTACATAGGTATTGGGGTTCAAAAACATCGCGTCAGAAGTGGCCCCTGTTGTGCTTGCAACTTCTCATCAGGTTTTTAATGCCCCTAATTCTGATGTGACCAGACTGGTTTTTGTCTGGCACCAAAAGGTGGCAGCACTGTCTCCGCTGTCCTTGCAGAGTCGGTTTATACTGTGTCTTCTATACATCCAAAAAAAAGGGGGGAAGGTAGGGGGGGAATTTGTTAAAATGGAAACTGCATTATTGATTGCAGTAGTAGTACTTAATTAACATAAGTAATGGTATTAAATAGCTCTGCTTTCCTAATGAAGATACAGGAGTCACGCTAACATTTGAGTGTCACATGCAGGCTATATACACAAAACTTTGGTGATTGAGCAAATGTCTGATTGTGTAAAACCAAATATTCCCTTACCCAGATCAGGGAGTGGCGGTTGATAACAGAAGACTAAATCAGTGGCATCGACCCCTGTCGTGCTGTGAAATCTGTGTGCTGCTGCTCCTGTTAACCAGAGCTGGAGCAGACTCTGCAGAATCCATTGCTGGCTCGCTGCCATTCGCTGGAGGTTTTGATTAATAACTTCCACGGAAGAAAAGGAAAGACTTTACAATGATGGTTTGTCTTCAGTTATTCTGGTAATTATTTTTGTGAGTAGGACGTGCTGGAGAAACGTTCTGCATTTTGACCAAGCCAGATAGCTTTGGAGAACAACCTTTTTAGCAACGATTACTGCTACATATCACTTTTATGATCACAGTGAAATCATCTGAAATACAACTTACTTGTGTTGTACTGAGATTTTCTTCTTTTTTTGAGGATATATGTTTATTTCTTCTTTTTTTGCCCCGTTGAATAAAGTCAGTGCTCTGGTCTGAAGGCTGCACATTTCTTTCTTTTTTGCTCCTAGCAAATACTTTCCCATCCACTATTCCTCAGCCTATGTGGTGTTTTTCTGGGGAGGAGGCCTCTACGTGATTCCCTTCAAAGGCCCCACCAATTGCTTTTCAACTTTCCATTTGTAATCTGTGATAGATTAAGTACACTTCATTGTAGATGTAATTCCATTCTATTGGACTTCAGAGTTTGTTGCATAGTTAAGCTTGCAAATAAAATGCATATGCTAGTGCTGCGAGATCTGTTAGCAGCCAGGATTGCTCTTCTGCTGTGTTTTCTAATAGAAACAAACGTTAAAGGGGCTTAAAAGTGCCCTCTTATTTTCTCAGACTCCCAAAGAAACGATAATACACTTTGGCATTGAGAATCCCCGGAAGCTCCTTAGCAATGTGAAGCATGCTGCTTTCCCCTGTGGATGAATGAGCTGTTCCCCACCGCGCTTCGAATCCCAATTGACTTGGGGAGAGAGATGGGAGACCATAATGATGAATGAAACAGAGTGTCCCAGATGACAGTGCAGAGCAGTGCTGTTGTGTTGTTCACTTATAAAGTACTCTAGGTTATTTACTGATATTTTTTTCAAGGTTACATTGCTGTACATTGCACAGGTCATATCTGTACAAGAAATACTGTAGTCTAAGGCATTTCTAGTACTAGCGCTTTTCTTGCCCTTTCATTTTCTCCCTTTTTCCCTTCCCCTTCTAATCCCCACCCCCCTTCCAGCCAGAGGTAGGGTGTAGAGGATGACAAACCCCATCTATCTGAGCGGTGCTGGATCTGCTCGTACAGCTCTGGATGTTCCTGTAATGCACTGTGCAGCAATTGTGTGTCAGCTCTAAAACAAAGTTTATGATATTTTTGAAGACTCTGTTAGTTCCTGTCAATGTTAACCTAGAAACAGCAACAGCAATTCACTCTCTGCGAAGTTAGTTTATAGACCTTGTGTTGCTTGCCAAGAGGACGTTATCCCACGAGTAGTGATGTTGTACAGAGGAGAAATCAAAAAGGTACAGGATGAATTTTTGAATGATTAAAGAACTGTGATATTGCATGGCTTCATCTCTGTTAGCCTCGTGCAGAATTGCTTGCTTATGCTACCAGTGAGCAGCCAGAGGAATTCATTAACATACAAATGCAGCAAGAGTAGTTGCTTCAGTGGCACACCTCTATTTACATGGGACTTCTATCTCCTTAATTCCAAAGGGGAATTTGGTTGAGTAGATCGCAAACCCAAAATGATTTTTTTTTTTTTTTTGAAGTCTCACAGTGTATACAAGCAAGATTTTTAAAAACTCATTAATATTTTGGCTGTCATATTTTTATATTTGATTTAAAAAAATTTTTTTTAATAGCAATCATGACCCTGTGTGATATGTCTGTATTACCCTAGCTGGTGAGAAACACGCTGTAATCGTCTCTTTGAATATGTTAGAATTCTCTCTGCCTCGTATGGCCTTTAACCTCATAATGTGAGCACCTATCAATCATTCATGCATTTATTTTCACAGCACTTTGTGGAGGTAGGGTATGCTGTAGAAGGGCAGCTCAAGTACATGGTCTTTGGGGACTTACACAGTATCAAGTCGGATACTAGTGGCTGGCCCTCGGATTTCTCACTCTGAGATTCATGTTCAATAAACCCTCTTATTTCTCCAATGCAGGGCAGAGGTAGAGGACTAAATTTGAAAATATCTAAATAGGCATCTGAACTATAGTAATGCAAGCATTGGACACCTGCAATTTGAATAATTAACGTGCAAAAAGACTATGTGCACAGAAACCTGTGGATGTAACAAAGCAGTGCTTCATGCAGACAGGTTTCTACTCAAAACTAGTGCCCTCCAAAAATTCACCAATGTGATGCTCATTCTCTACATTGAAAAGAAATGCAGCTAAACATTGTTAGATTTATTGCTTTAGTTTCACACCATGTGATTCTTACCATTTCTTTCCTTTTTCTGTATGTGAAAGTTTTTAAGTCTTTTTCATCATTTCCAGCACAAAGTTCTGGATTACAACAACTCTTCTTTTACGCTGTCTCAAGGTACCATTGAGCTGCTGTTGAATATTTGGCTGCAGGATAGTCCCACTACAAGGGTAGTTTGTGTGACTGGAGCTGCAGAAGCAATTTGTGCCGACATTCAGTATGATGCTGATAAAGTTTTATTGCTGTAATCCTTGTATTGCAAGTTTTCAAAAGATTATCAAAGGCTTCTATCACTGGTGAAGAAGAATCTGAAGAAGCTATTCTTTCACACATGGTAATGAAATTCTCCTCTCCCAGGTGACCATGCCATTTCTCTTCTGAAATTGGTTATTAAGTAACACTTGGATAATGAAGTGATGATCTGGCTAAACTGCAGACTACCTTGTCTTTTACCCTTTCTCGGATCCTTTATGGTATGCACTACAACCTTTTTTAGGACTTTTGGAGAGGAGCCAGCTCTTCACTTTGTCAACTTCTCTGTCCTTCAGGCTTTGGTTGCACAAACTCCTGCTGCTCTAGTGGTCCCAAAAAAGAGCAAGCTGTTATCTGCATAGATCCTTTACCTATCTTTACTAATACTCAGAAAACATTATCAGTCAGGCTCCTCTGGAATAGGGCAGAAGCACAAGCTTTCCCTTCTAAACCTCTGCTGAGCAAGTGTTTATTTTACGTATATATGGGTAGTTAAGTCTAAAATATAATGAAAATCCTCTATCAGTATGTGTGTAGTATTCTTACCATTTATAAATATGCAGGGTTAGTGACATTGCTTGCCATCGTTTTGAATTCGTTCTTCACTAGATACTGAATAAGAAATTAAGCATAATATTGAGGAGTTTCTTGGTTCAATTTTCTTTGGCCTTCAAAAATATTAAAAAAAAAATAATCACAAGAATGGCTCAAAAATAACAGTTTCATTTTTAAGTTGAAAAATAGTTATCTGTGTTTGGAGCCTGCTCAATACACTTAGATTGTTTCCAACCTTTGTTTTTTTATTTTAGAATGAATTTTATTTAATTGAGATCATGTTATAAGTATGAAGCATCTTGCAATTTAGCATAATACACTAAGAATTGACAGCAATTAAAATTGGATTTATGATCTGCTTTAGAAAGCATGCACACTGTAATGTTAAGCAGGATTTAAAAGATAGGAAAAATATCAGTTATCTGTTTAAATGTTCACTGTGGTCCCACTCCCTACAGAAAAAAAAAGCCACTCCAACGCTATTATTCTGCAAGAATGGAACACAGGATAGCTATTAATTCGTGCTTGCTTATTACTTTCAAAAGAAAATAAGGATTTGGAGTTGACGTATCATTTATCTAGTAAGGGGAAAAAAAAAAACAGATGAGATTTCTCCATAAATACTTCATTAGAAGTATTTTATACTAAGTAAATTATTGTAGTTGTGAATGTAGTTTTTGATAAGTGTTTTTTTTCCCCTTGGGTATTTTTTTGTAATCTCTAGTCATTTGATACTGACCTGTAGCATGTACATTGAATGAATGAGCAGAATGGCTCAAGAAGTAACGCTTTGTTTTCAAAATATCCGTGTTAATTTTTTTTTTATCAGTGTGGAAAAGCCCTCCTACCCATAGAAATACCTAAGGCAACACATGAAATTTTAGGTGAAGGACAGAATTGCATTCTGTAGGGTAATGTTATGGAAGGTAATTATGTGTTATTTCCATTTAACATTTTTTTGTAAATAACTTGAGTGGAATGTAATTCTGATGACCTGAAAAATAACCACCATGCTCACCTTCAGGAAGCACAAGAAGGAGAATCTGGGGAACTCACAGGCTGGTTGGCTTCACCTCCGCACCTCTGAAAGCTATGGAGCAAGTCATCCCAAAGCTGCTTCCAGCATCAGGGAGAGCAAGCCATCAGCTGGGAGCAACCAACACTGAATTCACCAAAAGCAAATTGTGCCTGACCATCCAGGTAGCTTTTGTGGTGAGATGACTGGTTTTGTGGCAGGGAAAGCAGTAGATATTGTATAACTTGACTTCAGAAAGATGTTCAGCATTGTCTTCTCTAGGATCTTAGTACTCTTATTCATGAGATGTGGACTGTTTTTTGTTTTTGTTTGTTGTAAGTATGCCTTAGTGGGCTGAACAGAACAGTGAGCTTCCCATATACTCCAAGCTTTTACCTTCTTTTGGATTTTAATTCTATATCTAATCTCTGCAAATAAAACACAGTTGTAGAAGAAAAATTATCAAATATTGTGAAAAAAGTCAAATGTTTCAAGTTTTAAACTCCTCAGTTCAGTTATCTTGTTAGTGGAGATGCGTAAAACCTGCTCACTCACTGCCCCACCCCTCCCTACTCTCCATATGATTGTCAGAGCTTGCGTTGTGGAGGAGAGAAGCTTCTGGGAGGTGGGCTTCCTTGGTGCAGCAGCTGTGCTTTGCTGAATAAAGAGGCAGCCCTGGGGGATAGGAAAGTGTATAGAACTTGGAGCTTTGGTTTTTGCATTTTGTGTAAAACCTGCTGCTGACAGTGTTGCTCATTTTACATTAAGGAGTGCTTTTAAGTGTTTGGTACCTTCTGTGTAGTGACAAGGGTGACCACTCCCCTCGAGCACCATTGATGAAACTAGCTTCAGTGGAAGGAAAAAAAACCCTTATTTTTATCAATTGAATTATTAGCACACACTTTGCTAACATACAGTCTGCGTTGGCACATCAGAGGAAAATGTCCTTACATATCTCCTGAGATAATTAATAAGGGCTTTATAATCAGGCCATTAACTTGGTGCCTAACTCAAACTAAAATTCTAGTTGCTGAGCTCATATACATTCTTACCGATGCTTGACAGCAAGATTGAGGGAGTTCTGAGTTCAATATGGTTTTATATGTGATTAGCTTTGGCTGTTTAAAGGATGTTGATATGGAAAGGAAAAAATAAGCTACTTCAGGATTTTTCTGGGTGTGTTTGAAAGAACCACTCTCTTAGCTGCGTTTCAGAAAATATTGCAAGCTTGATGCCTTAATTTTTTTCTTGCTTGCTATGATTTCACTATTTGCTATTGTAAAAAAAAAAAGAATAAACTGCATTCAGTATTTAGGTTAATTCCTGTTATTTCATCCGTGCTACCTGGCCACAGCATCCTTATGTTGCCTGACCTGCATATTGATGAAGAAATGACTCTTAGGCAGAGGAAGGAGCAGTGCAGCCAATGGCCTGTTTCCAGGAGGTTGGGTTGTCAGTGTGGGAACATCCTTCTCCTGTTGCTGAGTGAACTTGTGAGTGCCCTGTCTGGCTAGCTGACAAGTAGAACAGGCATAAGGGCTGCACATCTTCCTCTGAATCAGGTGTGAGGGGTGGTTAGGAGATAATGACTTGCCAGCACTTAAAGTCCCTTGTGTTGTTCGGAGAAAAGCAGAGCACAGGTTACCAGCATTTCTTTTTTTTTTTTTTTTTTTTTTTTTTCCTTTCTAACTGATCTGTCCTTCTCCCGGTGCTGTTGGGAAGGTTTGCACAGACTTGCTCTTTATGCCTTCCCTCTACTCACCCCAGCCAAGCACCAAGTGGCTTTGCTGCAGTAAGTTGCTGTAGGGCAGAGGGTAGGACTGCCTGCCTGCCCTGCCTCCATCTGACTGTGGAGCTGCTGATAGTCTCTGTGCTCTTGGTCGACTTTAAGTCCAGCTGAGGCAGAACAGACTTCTCTGGTCCTTAGCCCTGGTAATATTGTTCATGAATTCCAAGTACAGAGGCTTTAATAGCTTTGCAGTACTATGAGGTACAAATGCAGTGTCTGTTGCATTGCAGAATCCCTGACAGCAATACCCGTTCTGGGAATTGTAATTGAGGTCCTGTAGCAGTAGCAAGTTTCTGGATCATGTCATGCCGGGGTAATAGACTGATTCTGCAGCCCAAAGGGAGTGAGCTCTGGAGGAAGGGGTTCCAGATGGCTGAACATGGTTCATTTGGCTCTGTTTGTTGGAATTGCAGCTAACAAATGACTGAACTCTACTTTAATAAAGCTTTGTGGCTAGCAGAACAAAGGAGCTGAGGAGAGCATAAGGTATGACAAGACAATTGCGAAAGGCTACTTAGCTGCTTATAGTCCCCAGGAGTAATTGCTTGTTTTGCTGTGTCTGGAGGTATATCACTTTACACATTTATCAGGTGCTTAGGCTTCAAATAAGGACATCAGATATAAGGCTCAAATATATTCTTTTGCTAGTGGGAAGTTCTTTAAAAATGCAGTTAAAAGAATCTATGTATATGTATTCAGATTTCAAATAATCACTGTATCCCTCAGGTTGAGTGACTGATCTTCATTTTCTCTTTGAAAATGGAGACCAAACATGCAATTTAAAAAGTTCTGCTTTTCTTGCAGGTCTTGATTCTGCAATGCTTGCATGGAACAGTATTTACTTGAATGAATAGTACCATTGTACTTATTTGCAGGAATAATTGCTCTTTGGTTTTAGTAAGGGTGACAAAGTTGAGCTTTAATTTGCCACAGTGAGGACATGTGCAAGTGATTTTCTCTTTACTAGATATAAACAAAGAGCATTGAAGTGTACAGACAAAGATTTTTTCTGTGTTGGTATCTTCTATTTGGTTCTGTGGTATTAAGAAAAGTTCTTAGGATGGCAATTCCCTCATATGAGAGTATTTGTCTAGACACGTTAAAACAGGGATATACTTCTTTCTCTTTTCATTTAAAGAAGCAGACTTCAATGTCTAGGAAGTTTCTGATGCTTGAAACTTAAGGGGAAAAAAGCAAATAACTAATTACAGATGTAAATGAAAAATGTTCATAAAATTTAGAATGAAGCTTTTGAAGGGATAGTGAATTGAAAGAAGCCTTTGAAGGAATAGTGAAATCTGGATTTTTCATCAAGATTTTGCAGTGAGCGTACGTATGTCTGTTGTGATACAGATCTACTCACATAATATTTCTCTTAGAGAAACACGGGATCCTTTTTTTCTCCTAGCTGTTGTCAAACCTCTGAGCTGTGTCTGATCAATTTATTCAGTGGACAGGCTGTTTCCAGGCTCTCTTTCCCCTCCATCTTACTTGAAAATATCAGGAAATTTTATTTTATTTTTTAAGTCTGTTTGTTGTAATGTGTTCTGACTGCTTACTGAAACAACTCAGAGCTATTCATAAGTATAATTTTTCTGGAGCAGACATATCACTGTGATACCCTGTTTGCAAAGAAGAATGGCAGGCAGGCAGATGTAAAAGTATTGAGTTACTTTTGCCAATGCTTGAATAAGGTATTTTAGTTCTACCCATCCAGTTGCTAACTGTTGTAAAAAAACAAATAAGTTACTCAAATTTCTGTTTGTATTCATGTTCCAATTCATATTAAAATATACAAATTGTTGTTCAGGAGAGCAGAATTGAATGACGAATATCAAAACAGAATATTATTTCCTAACTTATTTTGAGTTCCTTCAGCCAGTATACACAACTTTTTCCATTGTCTTTATGAAGAAACTTGTGTTTCTGAAGAAGTCATGAGGTAAGAAAATGCATGGGTTTATTCACCTTGGATAAAAAGGAGTAAAGCAAAGAAATGGGATCATTGAGACTGCAAGAATTCCTATTAACATTTGAATAAGCTACAAGAAAATGAAATGTCAAGCCTTTTGCTCTCTTGTGATGAGTAATGGTGGCTTTTCTTTCTAGTAGCTCAGAAATATTTGCTCATGACTCTCTGTTTTGTAGGGGTTAGAGAGAGAATGACTGCATGTTGAACTTTATCTGGAGCTCTTGCTGTTGCACTCTCAGGACAGAGCAAGTCCTCTTTGCAATTTCTTTCAGCACCTGCTTCCCTGGCAAGAAGGAAATGACTAGGCCTCTACTTGAGGCAACCAGGGGATTTCAGCTGTTCTCTGGTTATCAGTTAAGAGACAACAAATACATCCTAAAAGTTGTACCAGAGGGAGTGCATGCTTAATTCAGCCAAGTTAATACGGCAAAACTTCTAAGCAGACCTCTTTGAGACACATTTAAAACAAATATCTTACTTTGTTTTAGTATGGAAGAGCTTTAGCAATGGTATAAAACATAATTGCAAATTCCACTTTTCTCATTCTCCTGCTCTGATTCGGTTACAGGCAGCTGGAATCCAGGACAGAGGAATGGAGATCACCAAGGGATGCTGAACATTAAGGCTTCAAAAAGGATGCACAATCTTCTAGATATCAAAGTATTAAAAAAAAACTGTGACATTTCTAGTAAGTGGACTTTCTCATGTATTAAACTGGTTTGTGGGGATAAAGGTACATTTTCTTTGTCTATTTGCTCCCCTCCTGCTAAGACAGTGGTGTACCTGTTTTGATGTGAACATTTATTCAGCTGAACTGAAACCATCAATTCATTTTTGCAGAGGTCACCAAAAATCCATCAGGTGGTAATGACATTCAGTCACTACTGATGTGGGCTGGATGTGAGCCAGTGATCTAGAGGAGAAAGGCAGTCTAACCCATTACCAGTCCCCTGGAGACAGCCAGTCCCCCACTTTTTGCTCATCTTTCTGCTTCTACTGCTCTCATAGGTTAATCTTTCTTCTTCTATGTCTAATGTGATAATCTTTCTTTTCTCACATATCAGCTTTTCACTTTCTTGACAGTACTGCTGGCAAACATCCTCAGCATTTTTTCTTCTGATGCATAAGGTATTAGTTAGGGCAGTGGTCAACAGGGGTTATTTAAATACAAAACAAACCAAATCCTAACCACACAAATGGAATATTTTATTATAGCCTTTCAAAGAAGGGAATAAGTTGGTAAACATTTTAAAAGTTCTTATAAGAATGTGGACATGAAGGCCTGGGCCTGCCTTTATGCTGTATTGCTGTAATTCAAATTATCTCATTCAGCTACTAGAAATACGTACCTTGGCAAATTGTGCTTTTCAGCCTCTGGTGTTTCTGGCAGTGTCAGTGTCACAAGCTGCTTAACACCCTCCACCCCTCCCCAGTAGTCTAGTCCTATTCTACTACACAGCAGTACTCTTTCAGCATCTTAGCCATGCAGAGGATCAGACCATGTTAGGTCAGGTGCAGTGCTGTGATGGGGTGGCTGTGCTGCTCATGATGTTATTGTTGGTTGGGCTGTACTTGGTAAGAGAGCTGAAAGTCTGTACCTATGTGCCAAACAGTAAGAATTGACACAGGATACAAAACTGGATGCTGGTGAACATTTGTTTGGACTCAGTGTTCGTTCTGAGGTGATAAAACCCAAGAATATTTCCTTACTATTTTTTTTAGATGGTTCCTCCTTACTGCTATACTGTATAAATGCATTTGAAAGAGAATTTCTAAGAAAAGTTGCAATGGGGCTATAAACTAACACATTACATAAAAATGTATTCATTGTGGAAAAGGGTTTGCAGCCATCCTGAAAGTACTTTGTTGCTGCTGGAGTGTCTCTAGTTAGGGGAGAAAAGAATCCTGTGACAAATTATAACGTGCAAGATTTGCTGTGAGTATTTTGAAAGCAGTTTGTGTTCTAAGATGCTTCTCCATAACAACGCAGTCTATTTTTAAATGCTTTATCAACATTTAAAAATAAAGCTTTGTTATTTGAATTGAATTAATTTTGTTGAGGTCAACTGGGTTTTAAATGGATACTTTGACCTTAATCATAGGTTACTCCAATGAGCTGAGAGCTATAATAGCAATATCTACCCAAGTGTCCTGTGCAACTTTCCACCCTCCTTCCCCCCTCCTTCCCCTTCCAAGTGAAAGAAATCAGGGCCTACTGTTTCTATTTAACAGAAATTGTTTTAAATTAGTCTGGAGGTGTGGTTACTCCTCTAATCCAGTGCTTGTAAACATGCGATCCTGCCAACAGAACTGTGTAGGGTATTTTAAGCTGATATGGAGTGGATCTATGCCAAGAATCATTTTGCTGGAATGCCTGTTTTTCTGTGTCATGCCTCACTTTGTACAGCTTCAGCTATGCAATAATCCCCAAAATAATTGTGAACCTTCTGTAAAGAAGTTGGAAATTTTGAAAATTATACTGCAGCAAACACAGCAAGTCTTCTATCACTGTGCAAGCAGTCTGTAGTTGGGAATTCCCTTTCATTTGCATACATGAAATGTGCAATTACTGTAAATGAGTCGTAGCAAAGCTAATATTGTCACCATTTCCCTTTTGCATTTGATTACATCTTGTATCTTTTCAGGAACTGTTTGCACTTATCTGCAGAGCTTTAAATACTGTCTTAGTGAATAAACATTTCATTTCAGTAAACAATCCCCAGAAATAGATTTTTACCGCAAGCAGTTTGTTTTTAATAACACATGCTGGCTTTTGGAGTTAGATTCCTAAAGGAACTGTAAAATGCATTGCTGTCCCAGCATCTAACTTCCCTTCTTTGTCAGCCTCTAACAGATGTGCTGGGTTCTCCGTAGTTACAGGTCAGCTTCTGTTTATTAAAAGCAAAACCAAAGCAAACCAAAACAAAACAAAAAAGAGGAAAAAAGAAAAGGAGTGCACATATACCGAGGTAGGTTTTTAAATTATAAGTTGATCATTTAGGATCCCAAGTAATTTTTTCAAGTTAAAAATAATGATCTTTCAGCTAGTTCTTTGTAATTCTAGGTATGGTACAAAGTCAGCATTTTAATTCTTTGTGGCACCATTTCCATGAAAGGGCAGTTCTGGCTGCCATCTTGACCTTGCCTATATTTCTAATGAACCTCAAGCCCGAGAGATCAAATTTGGTTTGTTTCTCTTAGTAGTGGGCTGTGGCCACATGTTCTATGAGCAAGTCATTTTACTGATTTGTCTGGGGCATGTAGGTGCTGGCATGGGAGTCATGCTGTGGGGATGACACATAGCAGGAGAAGTGTGCTGAGCAGGAGAGGGATGCAGCCTCCATGCTGCAGGAACATGAGCCCACAGCCCAGGTCAAGTCGAGGTGGTGGGAAAGGTATCCCTATAGCTCAGTGTGCTCTAAGTCATGCCATGGGCTTTGAGCCACAGGAAGGCTGGGCAGAAGCTAAGGACTTCTGGCAAACACGGAGTGTAGTGAGTGTATCTCAGACCTCAGCCCAGAGCTTTGAACAGTGGCCTTTCTTACCAGAACTGTCTCTGGGGTTGCAGGTTAGTTTTGCAGCAAGAAATCTTAGATTTTATGTCTGAGAGCTGGACAAGGTAGACTAATGATTGTAACATTTTTTTAATTTTTTTTTTTTCCTCACCTCTGTTTGTTTTGTCAGAAACACATTTGATTCAATGATATATTGCATTTAAATCTGGTATGTGGCCAACAACTAGGAGCAACAAGGAATCAGAGTGTGGAGAGAGTTTCTGGATTGGGCTAGTCTGTCAAATAATTACATCAGTATAATTGTAACAGATGAATGTGTCCCATTAATATTTTGATTGTTTTCCTTGATTTCTGTTTATTTATTTTTTTTTTTTGTAACATACCATGTCTAATGTTTGCTACACATTTACAATAGATTATATTCTGAGTTCCTTTAAAATAATATGAAACAAACATGATTTGCCTGGAAGATGTGTCAATATATTCAAATCAGGGTCTACAGCAGAAAGCTCCCCTACGTCTTCTGTTCTTTTACATGCACGTGCTTGAAAAATACTTGTGTCTGTCATTAGTTTTCTCTCACAAATTTCAGCCATGAGATTTTTGTGAACGAAAGGGAAAAAAATCAATTCTTGTGGATTCATAGTGCTTGTATATGAGGATTAGGCTAATACAGATTCACAAGCAAAAATCAATACAGATTGTAGAAATCCCTTCTGCTAACGATAGAACTGATCGTGCAGTTCACAGCCTTAATTATGTATCTTCTTTATGAGACAATGGTAATATCTCTTCACATGGACATGCAAGTTAAATTTTACCTTCATCATATACTTTTTTTTTCTCACTGGGAAAATGTAAGAGAAGTACTAAATATTATTTACCTGCTCAAGAAGTACTGAAAATGACAGGCTATTTTATAATTTGCTCAAAATCATCATCATAAGGAGTGGATTCACTTCCCCAATTTCCTGTCCTCCAAAATAAAAAATGTAGAGCACTTCAATAGAAGTGCTGTGTACAGAAATTGTGGTGTTAGGCAGAGGTTTATGGTGATTAGAAAACTTATCATTCAGAGTTTATGCTTTTATGAAGTAATATTGCAGAGATATTGTGATTTGAGGGTAATAAACATTTCTCAAGGGGAACGAAGGACCCATTTCTTTCAAAGGGCTATGTGCTTCATGTGAAGTCACCCACCTCATCCTGATGGTTACTGAAGAGCTGAAATGCACCACTAGAGGTTTTTGTCACTGCTGCACATTACAAAGTGGTTTTCCAGGATGGGTTTTTCTGAAGGCATGTAGGATGCAAGTATGGTGCACATCCCAGTTGGATTTATGGTCCCTATAAGGTATACTGGTGATTGGAACAGATGAGGCACGCCTTGCAAGCTCTTGCACTCATTTTGAGACATCCTAACCCAGCTGGTATTCAACAGATTTCCTTCTTCCAGGTTCTGAGCAAATAATCTAACCTGAATGCCACTGAATGTTCTGTTAGAGGTCAAATAATATATTAATTTCTACATGCCCACCCCTTCCATCTCTCTTATTTTTCCGTCTCTTTCTATGATATTTCTATGATAATAATTACATCATTTTTACAGTGGTATGTAGCTCTGCATGAGAGACAAGTTCTTCCTGTGGTCTCCAACAAGAATAATGATGCTCACAGAATAAGCTGTGAATAAGAGAGATTTTAAAAAAAAGTAAAAAATCACCTGGATTGCAAAGGATCTCAAAGATCATCCAGTTTCAACCCCCTGCTATATGCAGGATTGCCAGCCAGTAGACCAGGATGCCCAGAGCCACATCCAGCCTGGCCTTGAATGCCTTCAGGGATGGGGCATCCATAACCTTTCTGGCCAACCTGTTCCAGTGTCACCATCCTCTAAGTGCAAAACTTCCTCCTAATAGCCAACCTAAATTTCTTCTGTCTTAGTTTAAAACCATTCCCCTTTGTCCTGTCAATATCAACCCATAAAAAAAAAAAAAAATTAAAAAAAATCTTTTCTTTTTGGTGCACCTGGAAAGGATAGAAGGAGTTTTACCTGCTATTTTGAGGAGCAGTAGGGCTCCCGTCTAGCACACTTAAAAGAAAAAGACTTTGCCACTTTTTAGTAGCATTTTTCATTTGTGTATTTTTTTTTATTTAAATGAAGAAAAAAATCTGCATAAAGAAATGCTTGGCTTGATTTGACTGATGTGTTGCTGAGCTGGAGACACATCCACTCTCTTGCTTTGTTGCTTCTGGGATAATGCAGCATATGGTGGTTATTTGCTGGATTAAAAAACAAGGCCCCATTTTAATTCCAGCTGTGATCATGTGACTTTTTGTGAGCTGCAAACGCTGATGAGGGGTGGATTTAGAATATGGGATTTGAATTTTATGACCTTGATATTCTCTTAAAAGGGAGCTTTAGATTGTCAGTTCTTTAGATTGCTTCAGTTTTCTGGATTTGTAATGTTAATGGCAGTTGGGCACAGCTGGTGTTGGTTAGGATCATCTTCTTGAGGATACCATACCATGTGGCTGCAGAACAGAAAGAAATGTAATTTGTTAGGTGTTTAGAGCAGTCAAAATTCTACCAATTAGACCTGAAACTGTCATTTTGAGATGTAACGTGTTTATAACATAGATTGTGTGAAAGATGATTTAGCTCATGATTAAGAACTGAAATGAGGGGGGAAACCCTAGAGATGACGGTAATTGGGATCAGATGGGAAAATACTGTCTAAGTGGAAGAAATGTAGCTCTCTACAGCCTTTTCAAGATTGTAGTTTGAGTTTGTCTTGTATCTGCCATGGAGTGGTCAAAGTATTAAGGTTCAGAAGGAGCTTTGTTCTTTACAGTGTTATGCTGAAGTCACAGCAGGGAGTTTTCTAGAGAAAATAAAGTTCACAAATAGAAACATTTGTGTGCTCTCAAACATACTAAGCACTGTATGCTAGAATAAATTAAATCTCTCAACTTTATGAATGCTTCTAGATACTTTTACCATTTCCTTCCTACACCTTTCAAACACAAGTATGTCACCTCCAGTATCTTTCCCTTCTTGAAAATTTTAGTGTGGTGAATGGTGAACTCTTTCCCTGTTCCTTTCCCTGTTCACCACAGTTTTCTCCAAAAAAAATAACTGATTCATCAAAGCACGATCTGCCTGGTCTGCTGCTTCTATTTGTACAAACAATATTCTCTCTCTCCCTCTCTCTCTCACTTCCTTTCATTCTTGAGCTTCCAGGGTTCAATCAGTGCTTTTCTGTTGTTTTTCCCACATTTGCCTTCACTTTCACTGTTAATGGTTTCAGTTTGGGCTTCTCTGCAACGTTTTTTTTTCAAATTCTCTTCCTTTTTTTCTGTATTTTCTCTTTGACTTTTTTTTGCATTTAAAGCTTCAAACCATGTTTTCATGCTGATGACATCCAAGTTCCCCCTGAAATCTCACGTCTCTGACTTTGACTCCTTGTTCAGAATATCTAGTTACCTCTAGCTCCATCCTGATCTCTGTTTAACATCACTGCTCCTAGTGCTCATGGCGAAGGTATTGATTTTGACTCTTGAGCCTCTTTTCCTTTATCTTGGTGGATAAACCTTCTTTTTCCTTTATCTTGGTGGATAAACCTTCTTAGTTCTTCTTGTGTATGTTGCTTGTTTTCATTCCTGCAATAAAATATTTGTCTTTTGCTG